GGTGTGAAGGAGGTGACTGAAACAGGAGGATCTTGGTGTGAAGGAGGTGACTGAAACAGGAGGATCATGGTGTGAAGGAGGTGACTGAAACAGGAGGAGCATGGTGTGAAGGAGGTGACTGAAACAGGAGGAGCATGGTGTGAAGGAGGTGACTGAATCAGGAGGAGCATGGTGTGAAGGAGGTGACTGAAACAGGAGGAGCATGGTGTGAAGGAGGTGACTGAATCAGGTAGAGAATAGGTGTGAACGAGATGAGTGACAGGCCACAGATATGCAAAATAAATCCCTGCATCCCAACTTACATTGAACTTTGTGCCATTAGTTTATGTTTTGAATATAAGGGTTTTCATTTACTTTATAAGCTATCTAATTGACTACACATGTTATTCAAAGAAATTGTTGATGGATAGGTTTGTGGTAATATAGAGAAAAAGCTTTAACTACCCAATAAAAGTGGCCTACTTATGCCCATTGCTGTAATAGTCTTTTTGTCTGGTTTTATCTACTCCTTCCTGTTGGGTGTTGGTAACTCCTGACATCAGATTCCACTTTACTATGGCCTAATTTTAGGAACCACTGAGATGTTTAGATTAAAAAACAACATCTAACTACAACATCTGGAAACAAGCCTTCATCTCCATAATCTGGTGCATGCTGGGATTTGTTGGAAAGTCATAATTAGGATGCTGCAATATTGTTTATGCTATGAAGTTTTTTCATTAAGTCTATTGACCTCATGCTAAGATAGAAAATTATTTTTAATAAATAAGAATTTATCTACCGGTTGTCAGAAACTTTTATATTTTACACCAGGGGCTTTCATTTTTTCTCAGAATCTGCAGGATACCTGGCATTAAGGAAATAAAGGGCTAATTTATGGAGAAGGAGATGAGCAGGGCAGGAGCAAAGGGAAAGTGGTCTTGAGGATCCGTTATTGATTTAAGTTTATTATTAGTCTACTCTGTTAATGTCTCAGCTATGTTCGGAAAATAAGGACTCCAAATGTACTTTCTAAGGTACTAAATTTTGGTGAATTTATTTATTTTGAACTTTTAGTCTTAGGCTTAAATAACTGTAGTATTAGTTCATGTACTTTCCAAATGCCCAAAAGAAAAAAGTCATGAAACTGCTTTCAGAGTTGACTGTCCTCTGGAGGTAGTCCAGTGGTACACATCCTTAAATGCAAGATAGAATATTTCTGATGACTTTGACAAATGTCAAATTCAGCCTCATCGTATCTGGATGAAGACAACATTTTATACATAACTGTGGCAACTTATAATATTTTCCTATGGCACAGAGAGAAAGAGAGAGAGAATATTTTTATTTCTTCTTTGCTTCTAGAAACAACATATTTGTGTTCAAATTTGGATAGTATTTTTGGTGTATATAAATGTGAACATGTGTGTACATGTGGGTGCACACATATACAGATGTGTGCACATGTAGGTCACATGTCGATGTTGGATGTTTTCCCTTTGAAGAACCTGCACGTCATAAAGAGTTATCTTTACATGTAATTATTTGTGGTTATATGGAGCTTGGGACAAAGCCTGGAAACATACAGACGTGGCTGATGGTGTCTGAGGAGGAAGAGAGGCTGAGAGATGTAGACAGTGTAACCTGGGTGGGCGGTGCAGACAGTGGAGAGGAAGAAAGGATGAGGCCAAGAGAACAAATGGTTCTTAGATACACAACAAATGCAGTCTCAGGCAGGTGACTGTTCATCTTTCTGTAAGAGTCTTTCCTTCCTCCATCAGCCACTTGTGCCTATGAACACTTCAGACCTGCTGGGACCAATGAGAGAGATACTTTGAGCTGGTTCATGCTGTGTAGGAATGAAATTTGTTCTGAAGGGCAGGCATTCAAAAGATAGGCAGGGAGGCACGTTTGGGTTTTACTGACATCTCACAAAGGTCATAGTTTGTTCTCACTTGCAAAGGAAGTACTCTGACTCTATTTTTAAAAATCTCAGCTTGGGCATTTCCTCTAGAAAAACACCCTAAAACTTAAATGTTCTGCTGCCTGGAATCTTTTTGATTATAGGGATATGATAGGAAGATCCAACAATTAAAGCCAATGACTCCTGTGCTCAATCTTCTCATCCATCCCCCAGCAGCAGAGAGTCTGGGGAAGCTTTCCTACCCCCTTTAGTTTCAAAAACTAACTTCTTTGAATAAATTAATCCCTGAGGGTTGGTTATCTGAATTGCAAAATAGGCTCACTAAAAGCTATTTTTCCATTGTGATAAGAATGACCTGCCTAAAGGAAGGCAAGATAGACAGTCCTCCCTTCATTTCAGACCCTGTGAGCATGCCTGCTTCTATACTTGTCAGTATTGCTGCTTTACAAGAGATACACCATGCGTGGTGGCGCACGCCTTTAATCCCAGCACTCGGGAGGCAGAGCCAGGCGGATCTCTGTGAGTTCGAGGCCAGCCTGGACTACCAAGTGAGTCCCAGGAAAGGCGCAAAGCTACACAGAGAAACCCTGTCTCGAAAAAACCAAAAAAAAAAAAAAAAAAAAGAGATACACCATAAAGAATCTCAGTGAGCATATCAAAGATACAGTGGAGAACTCCTGCCTGAGACAGAAGGAGAAACACACCTTTCTGTGAAGGGTATTCTGGGTATTTGACTCAAAAGAGTAATATCACCAGATTCAGGAGAAAAACTGGTGAAGAGTTAAGAGTGGGTACCAATTGATGTCCTATTTCAATACATTATGGCATGCTGAGTTATGCAATAACTGAGTTATGCAATAACCCTGTGCTCTCTTTATTTGTTATGTTTAATGCATTCAAAGTCAACTTTTCCCTTTTCTTAAGAATGACTATTCATAATGTATTACAGTATTTTCCTGCAATGAAGTCAGGATTGAATTTGACAGCATTAGAAAGTATCTAGAGCTTATTTGGAGGTTCTAGCAGGGGAGCGCAGCTACTCGTATACCCTTGACCGTAGACCGGTCCTCCTCTATTCGGGGAAGGTCATCCTCTTTGACCGAGTGCGCAGCTTCAGGAGGGATGCACATGGAGCGGTGAGGGAGGAAGGGGACACCCGCCTAGCCAGCCAGATCAGCCGAATCAACCCTGGCGATCAATGGGGTGACAGATGTTGCACCTAGATAGCCCTCACATGAAACCAAGGTTGGATAAAGCACAGGGACAAATAGCCAAATGAATGGAAACACATGAACTATGAACCAATGGCTGAGGGGCCCCCAACTGGATCAGGCCCTCTGAATGGGTGAGACAGTTGATTGGCTTGATCTGTTTGGGAGGCACCCAGGCAGTGGGACCAGGTCCTGTGCTCATTGCATGAGTTGGCTGTTTGAAACCTGGGGCTTATGCAGGGTCGCTTGGCTCGGCCTGGGAGGAGGGGACTGGACCTGCCTGGACTGAGTCTACTATGTTGATCTCAGTCCTCGGGGGAGGCTTTGCCCTGGAGGAGGTGGGAATGGGGGGTGGGCTGGGGGGAAGGGGAGGGGGGCGGGAGGGGGGCGAACAAGGGAATCCATGGCTGATATGTAGAACCGAATTGTATTGTAAAATAAAAGAAAAGAAAAGAAAAAAAAGTATTTAGAATGATACTTGATTTCTGTGAACAAACATTGAGAGATATTACGTGTGCCCAGTTTTTTTCTAGAACATTTTGTTTCCATGCCAGACTATATCAAAATGCCTGGAAACTGTTCTTGTTAAAAAGAGACATTTTTCTTGTTTTCTCAGATTCATTTCTTCATTATCTCTTAAAGTAATATGTGAGAAACAAATAGCTTACCATTTTAGTTGTATTCAACAAAATAAAATGGGAAACTTTCATCAAGAAGAAACACAGTAAAAGTTTTTACATCTCCAACTCATCACATAATTTCAAACTCTATATTTGCCCATAGGCTCTTGCAAATACATTCCAGAACATTAACATTCTCATTAGTATTGGGAAGTTGCTTTTTGCAAACTAGGCATTGCTTCTATTACAAAAGACCTCACTAGAAACCTCTCTCTTAACTAGTGTTTCCAATTCCACTGTGACAGCTACAGAAATTGCTGGGTAGACTAAAGGTCATTGAAATGGACTTCCTTTACCAACCCCACACTGCCTGGACCATGGTAGCATTACAGGATGAAGGCAACTCTTACAGGTGACCACCCCCCCCCTCTCTCTCTCTGTGTGTGTGTGTGTGTGTGTGTGTGTGTGTGTGTGTGTGACAAGTCCTGGCCCAGTGTTATTCAAAAGGACATTTCAAAGGAATCAGCTACATGGAACTTCAGCATATCCAGGCAAGGTGAGTGGTCTATAACATTCAGAATGCATTGCCCCCTGTTTTAACAAGAAAAATATAGTACGTGTTCAAATTCCCATTACAAAGTTGTCAGAGCAAAATTAGTGCATGGTATGCTCTAAGACACAGATTGTTCAGAATTTAGTGATGTGTGAAATCAGACTTAGGCGAAATGCTAACACCAGGAAGAAAGCTGGCAGGGACTCATTTGCAGCTACTCAAGTATCAACACAAATAGTTACATTTTTAGTGACCTTTCTCTTAAATAAAGTATGCAGGGTATTAGGAATACACACAGATCAATGATTCTTGTTTATTGATTTTTAGCATTTACTACCATTTAAAATTATTTCCCCTTAAAATGCAGCATTGATTTAAATAGTGTACAGCATGCATATGCACTCTGACTTGGTAACTGTATTTTATAATTCCTTTAATTAAGAAGTTGGAGGAAGAAGCTCTACTATTTCAGAGACAAGACAACTGACTTCTAGAAAAGTTAAGATAATTGTGAAAGAATTTTTATGATGTATGAGAACAAAATTGCCTTTAAGCTTCAAGATTACCACTGTGTCTTGTCCAAAGTCATACAGGTACTGTGAGAGAGAGGTCATCTCTCTTAGGCACATTAAGTCCTGTGCTCTTGTGTCCACCGTTGGTCATAGAGAAGATAGCAACGCCACCCACCATGGCCATGATTGCTGACTCTAATTAAAAATCTTCTTCCTGATCCAAGATGGCGGCCAGCAGGAGGCTGATGAAGGAGCTTGAAGAGATCCGCAAATGTGGAATGAAAAACTTCCGTAACATCCAGGTTGATGAAGCTAATTTATTGACTTGGCAAGGGCTTATTGTTCCTGACAACCCTCCGTACGACAAGGGGGCCTTTAGAATTGAAATCAACTTTCCAGCAGAGTATCCATTCAAACCACCCAAGATCACATTTAAAACCAAGATCTATCACCCTAACATTGATGAGAAGGGGCAGGTCTGTCTGCCCGTAATTAGTGCTGAAAACTGGAAGCCAGCCACCAAGACCGACCAAGTAATCCAGTCCCTCATAGCACTGGTGAACGACCCCCAGCCTGAGCACCCACTCCGGGCTGACCTAGCTGAAGAATACTCTAAGGACCGTAAAAAATTCTGTAAGAATGCTGAAGAGTTTACAAAGAAATATGGGGAAAAGCGACCTGTGGACTAAAATCTGCCACGAGTGATTCCAGCAAGTTTGAGCAGAGCCCCGAGCAGTACTCAGATACCCTGCAAAGCAGGACTCTGTGGAAAATTGACACGGGCCACCACCTGGCGTCCGCTTGTGGCAGTTACTAACTTTCTACAGTTTTCTTAATCAAAAGTGGTCTAGGTAACCTGTAAAGAAGGATTAAAAAATTCAGATGTTCTAGTTCTGCTTGCTTTGTTTTAAAAATCACTGCTTTAGTCTACTTCAAAAGAATGGCATTTCTTTTCTTGCCCAAATTTACTCAAAGTTACAGTTAGCCCAGGTTTAAAAAAAAAAAAAAAAAGTCCTGCTTCCCTCTCCCCATTGCCCTTTTCCCTTTCAATGCCCTTCCACAGACTAAGGCCCCAGCTCCCCACAGAAGTAGCAGCGCTGGCAGCTCTTCTCCTGTGCCACACTGCCTGTGGGTGATAGCTCAAGTCCCCCTCATGCCACCCTATTAATGTCCTTTAAAAAATTATAAAACAATATCAATGCCCCCACCCTCCCCTAAAACAGAATGTCTGTTCAAAGGGAAGCTGCTTTTACATAAAACCTTAGCAAGTGTTTCCACAGTAACAGACTCAATGGGCAGACCCCACGCCCCCAACCCGTGGTCAAGCTGTGTGTTCTTTGTAGAGAACCCTGCAGTACCAGGTTTGTGGTGACCTTGGAGGGAGGGTCTGCCAGCAGAGAATGCCGTGCACTTGTGTGAGGATGTCTTCAGTCAGCAGTCCTCCGTGCAGCTGTGGTAGACGGCCTGCTGCTCATCACAGGCAAAGCAAAAGCCAGGATAGTCTGTTGAAATCTCAAGCTTCACCACCACCAAGCTCTGCTGAGGTGTGCCAAGGAGCCCCAATTCCTCAGCACAGCAGGCCACCACTGTCTCCCTCCACATGGTTTGCCCTTTGTGGGGTCAGCATTGGTGGCTTCTGCTTTGTAACCAGCTGCCCCTTCCTCAGAGCAGCTGCTGATGCAGCCCAGGAACAGGATGGCCTTTCCAGAGTCAAGCTCCACTGGAAGCTCACTCAGTAATATCCTTTCAATATGTTTTATATTGTTTTCATTGCCTTTTTTTGTAGAAATAAAATTTGACCTTAGAATTTATCATCAAAAAAAAAAAATCTTCCTAAGTAATGTTTTCTTTGAAATTTAGGAAAAAGAAAATGTATATATATATATATATATATATATATATATATATATATATCATCCTTAACTGAAATACCTTAACTTATCATTGCTGTGTGTGTGTGTGTGTGTGTGTGTGCGTGCGCGCGTGCGCGCACGCGTGCGTGTGCATGTGTATGCGAGTTTGTGATATGCATGTATGGGCTTGTGCTTGCTATAGTGTTAGGTCAGGAGACAGATTTTTAGCGTCAGTTCTTTCCTTTCAGCTTCACTTGGGTTCTGGGAACTGAACTCAGGTCACCGGGCTTGCATAGCAAAAGGTACTGTCTGCTACCTACCTTGCTGGATGCTGAAATGATTCTTTTTAATATTTCCTCTCAACTTCTAGATTCTTGATAAATTCTCTTAATATTTCTTTGTTTTTATGATGTCTCTACCACATCTGACACTGTTTTACCTCCTTTTGTAACTTTAGAAAACTGTGATATCAGACTCTCTCCCATCCATTTTATTCCACAGAATCTACTTCTGCTCTTTCCAATATCTTTAATTCTGATTTTCATTTTCATCCTCTTCTTCTTTCTCCCCTCCCTCCTCCTTATCACCAACTCCTGTTTCTCCTTCTTCTTTAAGGTTTCCAGACAGGGGGTCACTATTTTGTCTAGGCTGGCTTTGAACTTTTGGTCCTTCTGCCTCAGCTTCTGGTTTTGTATTTGTCACATCTTGTTCTGTCTAAGGCAGTGGTGGTCAAGTCTCAGCCTTTCTGCAGAGATTCAGTTTTGAATATTTAGCTGCTGATCATATACTTTAAGACAGAGTTCTTGTTCCCACCTGCCTCCACATCCCAAACAACTTATGACATTCTCCAAGGAAACAGTAACTCTGATTGTGTCCTAGCTGTAAATGTCAGAATCTAGCCCTCAAAATCATTGACTTTTCTCAATGTTATCATTATTATGATCCACTGAGTAGTCGCTCTAATTGACCATGATTACAAAAACAAATAAAATAAGAAGATACAGTGCTGACCCTTTAAACCTGGGGTCAGTTAGTGTATTTGACTCATGACAGGAACTGGGATTTCTTAGGAGTTTAGGGAAGGATCAAGCAGAGGCAACCATGTGATCAAGACAGTGGGACTCACAGAGATTAATCGATTCTGTTGATGTAAGCATTTCCCATACGTGACTGAGCGGCCAGAGCTAAGACTAGAAAGAGGGGTACAGACCTTCTGTGTCTCCCTTCAGAAGTTGAACACACTGGTTTCATCATTTTTAGGCACTTCCCTTTCTCCCTGCTTTGTCTGATAGAGTACTATATGTTTATTGGGACTTTGTTGTAACTGCTCTATCATAAATGCTAATGCATGCTCCCCTTCTGCTTCAAGCAAGACTCTGCCCAGGTCACCTCTCCCAGCTTTTCTTCTCTCACCATCTTGTTACTTCAAACCTTCACCCTGAGCATACACTGCATCTGAGTTTCTTCACTGATACAGAACACACCATATTCATTTCTATTTATTCATTAGATGCTTCTGTTTTCTTCATCTCCTTCCATCAGGGCAAGTCCTACCTCTCACCAGAGGACTAGCTCCCATCTTCCATGGCATCTTTGGTGATGAATAAAAGTCTGATCAGTGTTGGTACAAGCACAATGATGCACGGGACTCATCTACACTAAAAAGCGTCAAAATGTAGGTGGTGTGAATTGGAGTGGCTCAGCTAGCCAGCAGCTGGACATTTCCTTGTTCTGACGCCAAATTTTGTAACTATACATGTTTGCCAAGTTCTGGGACAGACACAGGCCATTCTGAGTATAGAGATCTACAACAAAGTAAACAACATGCCAAGGGGAAATACCCCTTTTCTTTACATGACATTTTCCTCCGAAACTATATTTTGAAATTTAAATTTCTTTTAATTGATGTATAAGAACATAAAAATTATTCCCATGAGTAGGATGACATATGATGTTTTGATACATATATGCATTGTATGTTTGAATCTGATTAAATGTTAAACATATTCAACTCCTCAAGCATTAATTGATTTTATATGATAAAATCTTTCAAAGTAATTTCCTCCAACTCTTGCAAGTGTCCAATCCGTTATTGTTGTCTGTAGTTATTCTACTCATAAAGATTCCCTGGGTGCCTACCGCAAGCTAGGCACAGCAAATGGGAATCAACAGATGAATGAATGAATGAAGAGACATGTCATTAAACATTCTGTGAGAATCACAAAGAATAATGTCACAATGCAGACTTGAGGATACCTGACTGAACAGATGGGAATTAGTCAAAGAATCTTCCAGAATGTTATGGTGCCTAAGAAGAGTTCTGAGGATTGAATGTGAGTATAGACAACCAGAATCACACTGTGAAGAATCAACTGTTGTGTGTGCTGGCTGCACATTATGGTCTTTTCTGGACCCCGGGGGCACTTTGGATAGAGTAGCATTTGCAATGCACCCCAAGCACAGAAATACAGGACTACAAGCCAGAGCCCTTCTGATCCTCAAGTGTGTTTATCTCACACTGTCTTAGAAACAATGGTATGGGAACAGTTTCTGAGCTTGGGAAACAGCTCAGAATTTAAAAATCATTTAAAAATCAAAAATTAGAGGAGGGATCTGTACGGCTTGAGGAAAAAGATAAACTAGAAGAAAAGATAAAAATGCACAAAAATGACAAACTGAAAAATAGGGATGAATATTTAGGGGGAAAAACAGCTTCCATGTTCACTGTGGTAAGCTCTGAGAACAGTGTACTCATGGGCTGGAGAGGTCGCAGAGTGAATGGCTAAGACAGAAAACTGCTTTTGCAGAGGTCCTGTCTTTGATTCCCAGTATGCACTTCATACTAGGCACTTCAAGAGCACCCTACCTCCAGTCCCCTCTTCTGGCCTCTGTGGCATTGGCACTCACATGTGCACATACTCACATAAAGACACACAAATACACACACTGAGAAAGATAAAATAAAATCTAAAGAAAAATGAAAAGGATAAATATAGCCACTCATTTTTTCAAGAAAAATAATAACAAAAGAAACAGGATGAAAAAAAAAAAACACACCAGAGGAAGCTAAACATCATCAACCTCTTAAGGAGAGTCATCAGAATGGGATAATGAGTCCTGGGAATGCAGGTGGTGAGGAGTTCTCCATTTAGGAGAAAACTTCATGTGAAGTGTGAAGTGGAAGATTTTACAAGAAAAGCAAGGACATTTGAGTCATGTAAAATGCACCTGTGTGTATTAAAACATCGTAGAGCACTTCACTCATGTGTATGAGGTTTTTTTTTTTTTACATAACATGTACCAGTTAACAAGTAAATAGAAAAAAAATGTAACTTTGTTTAGTAACTTAACCTCCCTTATTCTCAATACCCTTGACTATAAAGTTAGATAGTAAAAAAATGAATATATCAAAAGGTATTTTATAGATTGCTAGTATTTTCCCATCTCATAAGCGCTCAATAAATATAAATAATTCCTTAGAACAGCTATATTCAATAATAAAATATTTATTACATGAATAAAAGCATAATGTTTTAGTTAAAACAAAAGTTAGTCTAAAATGCAATCCCAATCCAGCACAAAACCTGTGTGAACAGGAGAATCCAGTGGTTCAAGCATCGGAACTGCCGAGTGTGTCTTATCTTCAGAACACTGGAATTGCTCACACTACATGATGCGTTACAAGTCAGAAATAATGACAGATATTTATGCCTTTATAATTTAAGCAATCACCTCCAAGAGCTATCTTTGAATATAACAAAGGATGGTAATCTTGCATTCACTTTACAGTTGGATGACACAGAATATTTTTGCTTATAAATAGCTGTAAGTCAAGCTAAGGAGTCCCTGGTAATTGTCTTTAAGTGTGAAGATTTGTCTCTTTATACTCAAATAAACACAAATGCAGGAAAGAAGAGACCATTATTGAGAGCTGATGACAGTTAGTTCACACAGCTAGTCAGCCAGCAAGTTCTTGTTCTTTGAAAATCTAGGGAATTCTGACAATGGGGCTAATGAAAGATTTTTTTTTTAATCGCTTCCCAATTAGATTTCTTTTACAATGCCTCTCTCTGTCCTTTGATCTGCACTTACAATTGGCCTGCTATTGGAGGAAAATACATGGGAAGAACTGAGGGTATAATTTTGCTGTCAATATAGATTGCACATTTTATCTTGTTACATGAAAAATGAATAGCTGTTTTTAATAACATTTTGTGACAATGCATGAATCTCCTGGTCCCTCAAAAATTAAGTAACACACATTTATTATTTCTACAGAACCTTTTTATCTCAGGGTTTCCAAATGAAATCCAGACATCATCTTTCTTTCCCACACTCCTCTCTCTTTGATCTCAGTCGAGCCCAAATCTGATTTATCTCGTCACATTATTCATTTGTCTGTCATTCAGGCTTCTTATGACTTCTCCCCCTTCAGTCAATTGCCAGGAATAACTTCCTTTATTCTGTACAGTTTTTTTTCTTTTCCATTTTTGCTAACATTCCTCCACATAGGCATAACGACATCCTGCATCTAGGAAACCTCTTCCTTTTAACTCGAACTCCTTTATTCTCATGGAAAATAAACCTGTTTCTCATTATGCAAGAGCAGTATGCTATTCTGGGAAAGGCAGTTGGCTGGAAATTAGAACAGACAGGTTCATGAATTTGGGCAAATCGCTTTACTGTCTCATCCTCGGTTTTATTATCTGTAAAATGAGAAAGCTGGAATGAGGGATATCTAAGATTCCCACTGTACTGGAAGCATCTGCTTCCTCAGCATTCCCCACCAAGGAGATTATAAAATATGAGGATTACAAAGGTAATTTCTATCCCAGAGTTGCTTAAGAATGAGTTTATCTGGTATCTCAATGATTCACGGAAAATTCGTTGACCTCAATTTCATTGAAAAACAACGTGGGTTTGACAAGTGGAGGCCAAGAGGTGCCTACCTAAGCATT